ACGCCATCTTCGGACTGGGCTCTGCCGATGTATCTTGGTGTGCTATTCGGTGTGCTGTAGTCGTTCCAGTGCATAATGATGTCGCGGGTCTCGGGGTCGGTGTGCATGAGTACTCCGCTTTGGACTAGTTGATTGTAGGAGAGGAGGTTGTAAAGCAGATCGTGCACGATGAGAAGATCGTTGATGGTGATGTGGATGTCACTATCGCGTGCTTTGAGAATGATGGTGATGTGGATGTCACTATCCCGCATGTGCGGGCGTGAAGCTGTTGCACGTTTGCCACGGTGATGATGGTTGGCTCTGGGATGGGGTAGGCGTTGGAGATGTAGCGCTTGGAGCCAACCATGTGTTGTCCGCAGCAGCTGTCGAGGAACCACTTGTGGTAGCAGTCTCCGCGACGCTGGGCCAAGAGCGCGAGGTTCGGCGTGTTGCGGAAAGGGATGCGCCTATCGCCGGCAGCGACGTAGTTGTCGAGGGGGCGTGTGTCAAAATAGTAGGTGGTGATGGAGGGGGGAATCCTCGTCGTGAGGCGGTGACTCCAGCAGCGGTGTGGGCAAATTCCAGTCTTGCTCGTTTTTGTCGGAGACGAATTTTCCATCTTGTATGATTGAATTGTTGTACGTATTGAACTCGACCTCCTGGCTGGGCGGAGGTGGAGAGACGTAGCAGAGATGTCGCCGGTTTGTCCGCTGAGTGCGGCGGCGAGCGCGCATCGCCATGTTTCCCATGACGTGGCGACCAGTGTTGTTCTATGGTTGTCGCTGCGAGTCTGGTTGCTGTGGTTGGCGCGGGGCGAACCGATGGTCCGAAGACGGTCGGTTGGCCTGCCGTGTATGGTCTAGGATTTGAGCAGAGCTGCTGCACGGCGCGGAGTTGTTGCGCAGCGTTCGGTAGGCTTTGCAGTTCTTGCAGTAGTATTGTCGGGGTCGTGTGTCGCGATTTCTTCGGTGGTCGCGGTTGGAGTAGAAGGCGATTTGTTCGCGACGCGTCCGTTTTTCTTGGTTGAAGTCCATATCGTGCTGTTCGTGCAGTAAGGTGGCGCAGAGGTGCGCTTCGGAGATTATGTCCTGTTGGCGAAGCAGGGCTTTGCAGGGATTCCAGTGTGGCCCGAGTCCTCGGAGGACTATGGTGACGAACATGTTTTCAGAGATGGTGTTGCCCAGCTTTAGGAGTTGATCGCGCGATTGATGTAAGTTTTTGCCTTCTCGACAGGTGCCATCTTGACTTCCATGAGTTCTTGAAGCAGGCGGCTGGATGAAACGGAGTCCTTAGGTTGGTAGGTTTTGTTGAGGTAGTTCCAGGCGGCGAGGGCGGGAGCTGGGAAGGTTTTGTAGGGGCGGATGCCGAGTTGTCGGTTGGCGCCATGTTCCGGAGGAGAACGCTATAAGCCATTAGCGATTCGTTGTAGTATTGCGCTTTTGCGTCGTCGGTGTCACTGGTGGGGCCAGCGTAGCTTCAATGGTTGAACGGTTGGAGGGTTGTCATTCTTCAATGGTTGAATTCCAAATAACAGTGTGGCGATCCGCTAGATGAGTTGCTCCAGAAGTGCATTGCTCACGGTGGTAGTTCCCGCGGAATTCGCGGTTGGGTTGGTGGAAGGTTCGGCAGCGTTGGCCGCTTGCCCTCCAGATCCTCCAGCCATGTTTCGGCGGGAGCGCGTACCGGACGCCACCTTGAATTTGAATTTGAATCAAAGGTGGTGATGCGAAGAATCCTGAGTGGCTCTCATACCATGATGCAATCTGAACCGTCTTATAGGATCGTCTCAGGTTGATCGCACGAAAGTTGTTAAACAGGCTAGGCGAAAACGAGAAATAGGCAAAGAGGGATTTCACTAGCAAGCAGTTGAGTACATATAGGAAACCCTAATTCGGGTTGTACTCGCTATAGAGTACCCCACTGCAGGCTAGACAACCATCACATTCTGACACACCCCCATAGTCAAAGTGGGGTACAATCAATACAACAAGCAGGCAGAGCAGTAGTTCACAATTATAAGCAAAGCTAGCGGCTAGCACAGAGAGCAAGTGAGGAGGAGGAGAAACTGTGGGGGCGAGAAGATGGGAGGCGACGGCTGAAGCTGCAGACACACGGGCAGCAGGAGTGCGTAGTACTGTCGCTACCAGGCTAAACCCGGACTACACGGCGACAGACGCAGCTGGCTCGCTGTGCTCCCAGGAGTGCTCACACTGTAGCTACCGGCGTAGAGCCCCGGACTACTCAGGCCACATGGGGTCATGGCTTTCTGGACTACCAGGAGTGCTCACACTGTGGCTACCGGGCGCAGAGCCCCGGACTACTCAGGCCACAGGGGGTCGTGGCTCCCTGGACTTCAGGCGCTGCGGACGACAAGTCGGCTACCTCCGGTCAACCTCCCCCAACTGTCCCACACCCCGTTCACACACTCCCTGTCGAACCGCTAGCACCGCTCACACGCCACCCCCCTCGTACCACTCCGACGGCTCCAACACATCCACCCCCCTCAGCGGTAGCTGCAGCAGTGGGAGACGGAGGAGGAGGAGGAGCAGGGGACGGCTCACACACACGGCACCCCCATACTCTCCACCCCCAAACCCTAACACAGGAACGCGGGCAGCAGCAGGGGTGGGGCGCCGTCAAAAGCTCGGGGGACGGCATGCGGCACTGGGACAGGCTGCCCGGGGGGCGCACAGGCCTGGCGCAGGCCGGACGAGCCGCGCGCGGGCTGCCCGGGCCGCGCGCGGGCCTGGCGCAGCCCGTACGGGCCGCGCGCGGGCCTGGCGCAGGCCGTACGGGCCGCGCGCGGGCTGTACGGGCCGCGCGCGGGCCTGGCGCAGCCCGTACAGGCCGCCCGCGGGCCGGGCGCAGGTCGCACGGGCCGCGTCGGGGGACGGGGGGCGACGCGACGGGCTCCGGCGGGGGGCGACGCGACTGTCGACGGGGGAGAAAACGGGGCGCGCGGCGGGAAGAAAAATCGCCGCACGCCCGGAGCGCGCGGCAGGCAGGAAACAGCAGCGGAAGCTTCTGGTGGGACCACCCACAGGATCGACCCAGGAGGGTCGACCTGCTCTGATAGCATGTTAAACAGGCTAGGCGAAAACGAGAAATAGGCAAAGAGGGATTTCACTAGCAAGCAGTTGAGTACATATAGGAAACCCTAATTCGGGTTGTACTCGCTATAGAGTACCCCACTGCAGGCTAGACAACCATCACATTCTGACAAAAGTGTAGCAGCGAAAGTTTGCTAGGTAATGTCGGGTACCGACTCTGTCAGAAGGAGATTTGAATCTCGATAGAAGTGATTAATTTAATGCGGTACAAGGGTTTATATAGAAATATAGTGGAATACGAAAGGTCCTAGCTAGCCATGTACTCTGAGGGGGTACATTCCCCTTAGGGCTAATCTAGATGCAGGATTGCAACCGTGCGGCTCGGTAACCGTACGCGGTTCGGTAACCGTTTGAACTTTTCCCGCACTTTTTATCGCGAATTCTTCCTACTTGTAACTGTCTTCGATAACTGTCTTGTCGCTTGGTCTTTCGTCCTCGCTGCAGTCATCTTCGCGTTAAGGATTCGTTACTTATGAATGTTTATTCAATCATTCCTTATCGTAACAAGGGCGTGTTCCTACGGCCTCATATCAGGCAACCTCGTATCAGATTCGCGACTGGACCGCACTAAAACGCATCCAACAGCAGTCGAACACACTGAATCGTATTGTACCGCGCGAAGCCGGATACGAGGTATTTCTGATACAAGGTGTAGGAACACGCTGTTAGATGATGCGCACTTATGACTACGGCTCTAACCGTATCATCCTGTGAACCACCTCCAAGGAAGTGCATGATTTCAGGGTGAACTTTGATAATGGCTGCTGGGTGAAATTTTGACAATGGCGCACTATTGTATTATTTTATACAATCCTTCTGTTATGACATTTTCTCTTGTTTCAATTTCGCATATACTCTTTACATGTGCTGTGTAACGGGGACCTCTCACCACGGCTAGCGAGTGTTTCTGGCCTATCCTGCTTCCCAGAAGCAGCTCGTCTGGCCTTGGCGTCCCTGCAGGAGCCGAAGGGTCAGCCTCCGATTTTTGCAGCGCGGGTGTTGGGCAAGCGTGGTGCCTTTGCCACCCTTTGGACCTCTCTTTGCTTGCCACATATGACGAGACGACATTGAGGGCATCGGTCGTGCCATATCAGAAAATGGCCTTCGTTCGCAGCTCTGTCCCGATCTGCCCAGCTGACAATCGAAGTTCTGCCGTTGGGACAGCTTCGATTGCAACCTCTCAACCACACTCCACAGCAGAACGCTATGAGAGGTTGAGACCTCGGCCAAGCCGGGAGCAAGAATGTTGCCATCTCGGCTGTATAATCAACTGCCGTCTCCTTGACGCCTAACTGCTGCTGCTGCCATGACCAATCATAGAAAAAACTGCCAGTCTGCTCCGGGTCGGTTGTCGGCTGCTCTTTTCTAAACTCGTGCCGGATTCCGCGCTTATCTCTTCCCCTCACCTCACCTTTCCGTCGTGTTGTGACTCGTCAAGAAAACGACTTTCTTGCGACCTGCTGCTCGGCAGTATACGCGGATTCGACGTACCTGGTTTGCTCACCTGCGCGGCTGTCTCACTGAGAATTTGACCGCTAAACTAGTTTCAAGCCACGATGCGCACGCAGATAGGATATGGGTCGAGCCATCTCAGTCGTCTCAGTGTTAGTGGGGACGTTAATTTCACGCCTGACAGTCCTCGAGAAACAACTGTTCGCTCATCATTCACTCGGGCGAACGGGATCCTGCAGACGTTCGCTCTTGTTTCGTTCGAGCTTCATTCGGCAATTGCGGCTCCGGTTTCTTGTTTCTTTCGAGTTGCTGCTGCTGGTTGTGCTGCTGCTCGTTGCAATGGTGGCCCATCAGGAGCCGTCTACTACCGTGGCTGCTGCTGCGGCCGTCGTTGTCGGCACGGTGTCGAACCTTCTACCGTGGCTGCCGTTAAACGGCGTTTCGGCGGATGACGCGTTGATGGCGAGAGGTTGCGAAAGTGACGGAACTGTCGCGAATGGGGTTACCACCACCGACGGCGTCGCGCACGTCGCTGAGAACGCCTCTGACGAACTGAAGGCTGCGTCTGGGACGGCCGCAGCAGCAGCAGAGAGCATCATTTCGGGCGAGGGGAAGGAGAATAGAGCGGAGAAGCTGGATGAGGGGAAGGAGAATGATGGAGCAGGAAGCGAGATTCACGGGGAGGACTCCACGTCGGACGATGATTACGAGGACGAAGAGGAGTATGAAATTCCGGTAGTGGCGGATGAGCCCGATTCGATTGACACTCGCGACGCGAACACGCCTGACAAGTACGTTGGAACATGATGCGCGGATGATAAGGTTTGAAATACCCCCTGGAATCCCTGCCTGAATCCCCTTTTTCCTTTCCCCCCTCCCTCCCCCTTCCTCCCAGGTGGATTTCCCGCCATCCCTCGCTCGTGCGCCTCACCGGAAAGCACCCCTTCAACTGCGAACCTCCTCTCTCCCGCCTCCTAACCTCCGGCTTAGGCTCGGGCTATGCCTCGGCGGCAGGTTCGGAGGCAGGTTCGGCGGCTCTTCCCTCGCGTTCCGATCCAGCCTCGGGGTTCATCACTCCCGTACCTCTCCACTACGTTCGGAACCACGGCTACGTGCCGCGCCTGGATTGGTCCACGTGGCGAATTGAGATCTCCGGTCTAGTCAGCAAGCCTGCCAGCCTGTCAATGGCGGATCTGCTCGCGATGCCTTCCAGAAAGCTTTCCGTGCTGCTGGTGTGCACGGGAAACAGGCGGAAGGAGCAAAACGCGGTGAAGCAGACAATCGGGTTCAACTTGGGGAGCGGGAGCGGCGGCGACGACGGTGTGGAAGGGTGTTTTGCTAAGAGACGTGCTTATAAAGTGCGGCGTTCAGCTAAAAGGGAAGAACGCGGGGAAATTCGTGTGCTTTGAAGGGGCCGAAACGTTGCCGGTAGGAGGGGGGAGTACTTACGGAACTAGCACCGAATTATCGAGGGTAATGGACCCTGCGAACGATATCCTCCTGGCGTACGAGCAAAACGGGCAGGTTCTCTCCCCCGACCACGGTTTTCCGGTCAGGGTAATTATCCCTGGATTTAACGGTGGGCGGATGGTCAAGTGGCTACAAAAAGTGGAAGTTACCCGGGAGGAATCGCAAAACTATTATCATTGGCACGACAATAAGGTGCTGCCTTCGCATGTGAATGCAGAAACAGCTACTAGGGACGGGTGGTGGCGTAAAGAAGGGTATATTTGCAACAAGCTGGCGATTAACTCGGCCATTGTTAGTCCAGACCATGGGGACGTGGTGTTATAGAGGGCGGCGCGGGCCGGCAGGTAGTGACGATGAGGGGGTTTGCGTATTCAGGCGGCGGCAGGAGGGTGACACGTGTCGAAATCACGTTGGACGGAGGGAACACGTGGCGGCTGTGCGATATCACCCACCCCAGCCCACCCACTCGGTGAGTATCTCCACTCCCCTTACCCCTCACCCACCCCCACCCCCTCAACCCCCCCTTTCCCCCTCCTCCAATTTCCCAACCACCTTTCTCCCCTCCTTTTCCCACTTTTTCCCAGCTTGTCTTTTTCCCACCTTTCTCTCGCTCCGCTCCGCGCTTGTTTTGTTCCTCTCTCGCCCCCTCTCTTCGCCATAAAATCACCATCTCCTTTCTTCTCTTCTCTCGCATCCCGTCCCTTCCAGCCCTCCTTCTCGAAAAGGGGAGTTCCCACCTTTCTCTCTCTCTCGTCGCCTCCTTCACCACGACATCATCACCTCCTTTTTTTGTCTCTCATCCCGTCCCTCTCTCCTTTCCCCTCCCCCCGACCAGCCACTGCAAGCGGGAAGTGGGCCTCACTTAGCTGATTCATACGGATGCTCATCTCCCTCCGCCCCACCAGGCACGGCAAGCACTGGACGTGGAGTCTCTGGGCGGTTCAAGTCCCGGTGATCGACCTGCTGGGGGCGAGGGAGGTGGCAGTGCGGGCATGGGACGAGGCCACCAACACACAGCCGGGTAACCTGACGTGGAACGTTCTGGTGAGTGGGTTTGCTGACGTGGAAAGTCATGGTGGGTGGGTCTGCTGACGTGGAATGTTAGAATGAATGGAGATTGCTGACATGGAATGGTTGGTGAGTGATTGCTGTTGTGCTCGCTTTGTCAGTCCCACCTCCCTCTCCTTGCCCCATCTGTCCTCTCCTTTCCCTCCCACTCCCCCCTCCCCCCTCCCCCCTCCCTGCCGTGCCCTCCCCATCAGGGCATGATGAACAACTGCTGGTTCCGAGTGCGAGTGGCCCCCACGGTGACGCCAGCAGGATCCATCGCCCTTCACTTCATCCACCCGACCCGCCCCGGCAACCTCCCTGGCGGCTGGATGTATGATGCCCCGGGGGAAGGGGTGGGGGAGGGAAAGCCCGGGGGGAACACGGCGGGAGGAGGAGCAGGAGGAGGAGGGGCCGCTGCTGCTGTTGCTGTCTCGTTGCCACGCCCCGTTGCCGCCCCAGCAGCTTTGGCAGCGGCAGCACGATCCGGCTCGTCCGTTCGGAAGATTTCGATGGCTGAGATCTCCCGGCACGCAGACGAATCGTCACCGTGGATCGTGGTGCATGGGAGGGTGTATGATTGCACCAGGTTTCTCACGGCCCACCTGGGTGGCAGCGAAAGCATTACGGTCAATGCTGGCACAGATGTTACGGAGGAGTTTGATGCGATACACTCGGAAAAGGCTAACAAGATGCTCGAGAAGTATTATATAGGGGATGTGGCTGGAGAGGGGGAGGAGGAGGAAGCAGGGATCGAGCTTTCTGCTCCTGCTGGTTCGGATGCTGCTGCTGCTGCTCATGCAACCGTGACTATCCCTGCTTCTGCTGCTGTAACACCCGCTCCTGCTCCTCTCCCTGTCTCTCCCACTCCCCACCATCTCACCACACTCGACCCGAAAAAGCGAATCCCCGTGCCCCTCCTCTCCTAGCTCTCCCTCTCTCCGAACGTCCGCCGCTTCCGATTCGCCCTCCCCTCGCCCAATCACATCCTCGGCCTCCCGGTCGGCAAGCACTTGCTTGTTTGTGCCAAGGTGGGCGGCAAACTGGTGATGCGTGCGTACACACCGACCACCTTGGACGAAGACGGGGTGGGATTTTTCGACCTGGTGGTGAAGGTCTATTTCAAGGGGGTAATTCCGCATTTTCCCCATGGCGGGGTTATGTCACAGCACCTAGAGTCACTATTGGTTGGTGATACTATCGAGATTAAGGGGCCGCTGGGGCGTATTGAGTATCTGGGAAGAGGAAAGTTCCTGGTAAGTGGGGAGGAGAAGCGGGGGAAGAAGCTGGCCATGCTGGCGGGAGGCACTGGATTCACCCCCCTTTATCAGGTGGCGAAAGCGATTTTGGCCGACCCGGAGGATAAGACGGAAATGTGGGTGCTGTTTGGTAACAGGTCGGCAGCTGACGTGCTGCTACAAGACGAAATGGACCGGTGGGCTGAACAGTTTCCAGGAAGGTTCCATGTGTGGTACACCATTTGTGAGGCTGTGCCCGAGGGATGGAAGTATGGGGTTGGGTTTGTCACTGCTGCGATGGCCAATGAAAGGCTGCCACGTGGTGGGAAGGACAGCCTGGCGCTGATGTGTGGCCCTACGCCAATGATCAGGGCGATGACCCCTCTGCTCGAGGGGATGGGTTACTCAAGTGATAGCATGTTGACGTTTTGAGATGTACCGTAATCGAATGTGGAGCATTGCTCTCCCTTGTTTCCTTTTGTTCTGCAAGCTGTTACTAAATATGATCTATGTGGAATGTGAACAGAACTGTATGGTTGAGAGTGGGAAATTATTGTGGGTATGCACGCAACATGTAACTGAACATTGAAGAAGTTCTAGAAGAGATCACGCGATCGTGCTTATGTATTGCAACGGATCACACACTGGGTGATGGCAGAGGAGAATCCCACCAGCGTGTGTCCGTCCCATCAGCATCTCCGGTAGCAGCAGTCTCGTACTTATACAGCTTTCGTAGCTTGCGATTCCAGCCAATGCTCATTTGCGTTGTCGCCAATCGCTCTGCCAAGTGAAAGCGTGACGACCTTCCGCACAGGATCGTTCAAGCAGTGTGAGCATTGTGAACAGTGAGCGTTGTGCTTTCATTCCCGCTACAGGATGGCCGGTTCCCATTACAAGAACCTGCTGGTAAGCCAACAAGGAGCCGTGGTAACCGTAACCATCAATCGCCGGCGAAACCTAAACGCCATCAACAACGCAACGTACCTCGAGCTCGCACGCGCTCTGGCCGACGCAGACACCAATGACACTGTATCGATAGTGCTTATAACGGGAGCTGGCGAGTACTTCTGCAGCGGGACGGACATGCTCGAGTTCATGCAGACGGTCGAGAGACTCGAGGCGCTGAAACGATCACAGGAATCAACAGCAGCCGTCGGTTCATCAGAGCAACCAGCAGAAATCTCAGCTCTAACCGTTCGATCCACGCCACAACCCAGCTCCACCATCGATCTCCCCCCGGATTTCGACCCGTTCGCCAGCCCCGTGGGTCGGTTCATGCGCGGCGTGCTGCGGTTCTCCAAGATCTTAGTCGCAGCAGTCAACGGGCCAGCCATCGGGATCGGCGTGACGCTCCTTCCGCACTGCGATCTCGTCTTCGCCGCGGATTCCGCCACGTTCTGGGTGCCGTTTCTCCGCATCGCGATCGTTCCCGAGTTCGGCTCGTCCGTCACTCTCCCGCACCTGCTCGGCCGCGCCCTGGCGAACGATCTGCTGCTGACGTCACGGGTGCTCACTGCGGATGAGGCGTGCAGAAACGGCCTTGTCTCGAGAGTCTTTCCAGATGCGACCCTTCAGAGTGGTGAGATTCTTCTGGACGATCACGCACGCGTCAGCTTATGAGGGTGTGCTCCAATGATTGCTTTCTTGAACCAAACCTAAATCAAAATTCTGCATAATTGTTGCTGAAGTCTGGTCATCCCTTATCCCTGATAAAATTTCTCCCCCCCACGGCACTCTCCCCTTCCCCGCCCGTTGTTTGATTTCCTTCGTCTCTCTCCCTTCTGTTGTACGTGTGCGTGTTCTTTCACGCCCTCTTTCAGAAGTCCTCTCAATACTCTCCGACATTCAGCAGCAGGCTCTCTTCCAAGAATCCCTCCCGATTTTCAAGCGCATGCTGCGCCAGCCGCTGGGTGACTCAGCGCCACGTCAGCCTGACATAGAGGCAGTGGTAGGGGAGGAGCTGCGGCAACTGGCTCGCAGGCAGATGGCGGGAGAGACGGGGTATGCTGTGAGGGAGACAATGAAAGCAATGCGAGCTGCCAAGGTGGGGAGCAAAGCAGCTGGGTCTCGAAGCAAACTGTAGAGATGGCGGCTCTCAGGCAGATGGCGGGAGAGACGGGGTACGCGGAAGGCAATGAATATGACGGCAATCCGAGCTGCCGGGTGGGGTGGAGGGGGGGGGGGGGGGAGCAAAGCAGGGTGCGGTGGGGCAGCTGGATCTTGAAGCAAACTGTAGGCAGGTGGCTCACAGGCAGATGGTCTGGGAGACAAGGTACGCTGTGAGGGATTTGGAAGACCATGCGTGCTGCCAAGGAAGCAAGCAGAGCAGGGGACGGTGGGGCAGCTGGGCCCCGAAGCAAACTGTAGGACAACCTGGGCATGCTGTGAGGTGACCATTGAAGCAATGCAAGCTGGCAAGGGGTATAGCAGAGCATAGAGATGTGGGGGAGTTGGTCTCGTAGCAAGCAGTAGGGGACTGGTGACGAGGCAGACAGTGGGGGAGAAAGGGTGACGCTGTGAGGGTTGACCATGAAGGCAATGCAAGCTGCCAAGGGGGGAAGCGAAGCTGGAAATGGTGGAGGAGCAGGCCATCGAAATGGAGTGTATAGGTGTGAGGCAGCGGCAGATGGGGGGAGACACAGGGTACTCTGTGAGGATGACTATGACATGAAGGTCATGCGAGCTTTGGGGATAGCAGAGCAGGGAATGATGGGAGAGGATGAGGGGAGGCTTGATGTTGCTTGTTGGAGTGAGAGGCAGAGGCAGGGGATGGGAGACAGGGTACACTGCGAGGATGATTATGCAGGCCATGTGAGCTGCCAGGGAATGAAGCAGAGCTTGGTACGGTGGGAATCATGCGTTCCAAAGCAGGCTGCAGGGAGTAAATGCGGAGGGGCTGTGCTGGTGGGGGGGTGTGTGGTACCAGGATATGCTGTAAGATTGATTGTGAAGGCAACAGAAGATGCCACAGGGGAAAGCAATGCTTGGAACGTTGCAAGGGCGGCCCCTAGAACCATCATGCGGAGGTGAAGCTGGTAGTAGAGACAGTATATACTGTGAGGCTGGCTGTGAAGGTCATGCGGGCACAACCAACCAACTGTTGTGTAGTACGGTTCTACATGAATGGAGAGCAAAATTATTTCTGCCCAATAACAAGGATACGCACAAGTGAGCATGGCGTACCACCCCAACTTTCGGAAGTGCACGTTCGGCCACTTTGCTTGCTGCCGAAGCAACCTCGCGTCGCCTTCGGCTTTCCTTTGCCCAACCTGCACCCAACCTCGTACCGTATTCCCGAGGTTCCCGCTTGTCAAGATACGCTAGAGAGCAGTAGGCTTAGGAGCCATGGCCTTAGTAACTAGGAGCTAGGTTTTGTTGGGCTGAGATAGCCCCTTAGGATCTTTTCAGGGGAGAACTCTGGGTAGGACAATTGTAATAGCGGAAGCTTTTAGTGAAGTAATTGTGAACCACCTTGCGCTAGTATGTGAGGGCAAAGTAGATTAATTATAACAGGAAAGTACAAGAATATATAGTGGTGTAAGGAATATCAAAGGATACGGTTATAACTACTTTTACTGTTGCTGTTGCGGTTCGATACAGTACGACTCGGGCAACTGCTCTGTAACGAGTCAGTTGTATGTCCTTAACTGTCGCGCTGTACTTGTCGGGTCAAAGGTCAGCGACCTTTGACCTTCGCGTAACCTCCAGCAACCTCTTCAACCCCCGAGGGTTGACTCGCGGGTGCTTCGGTGTAGTTTGCCTCGCTTCTGATGCGGTGTTTTCGACACGACTGAAGCGCTTAGGTCTTATTGTTTCCAACAGGTTTTAGGGTTGAGGCAAGAGTCGAGACTGTTTGACCAAAGAGAATGAGTGCACGAGCAAGCAAGAATGGGGGTACAAATAGCAAGCCCTAAAAGGGTTACACTCACTATTGAGTACCCCAGTGCAGACTATCTTAGAACTTAGGTATGATCAGATTAGGTCAAAGGGGGGGGTACCCCCCCTAAGGAGAATGTCGAGGGAAATTTTGTACCCCCTAGTGCTACCCCACTAAAGCCTAGATCAATCTAGCACAGATATAACATTTGACACCATATATAACCACCCGGGTATTATATAGGATTTTCCGTTGAGAGGACCCCCCCCCCCCTTTTTTTCCCCCCCTAAACCCAGATATAACATTTGACACACCCCCATAGGCAAAGTGGGGGAGAGCAAGGGGCCACAAGGCCAGTTCACATGCAGAGGTATATAAGCAACAAAAACAGCACAGTGATCACTACCTAGCAGATGTAAGCATGCAGGTACATATATATATGGATCACAGTACAAGCAAAGCCTACAGCAAGTGTGGAAACGTAGGCACAAGACCTAACAAGGTACAAAAGCGCTGATGATCACCAGACGGAAGTGCCTTGGTGAATATATCAGCAGTGTTGGCCCGAGTGGCCACGTGTGCAAGTCGAAGCTGACCACGCTGCTGCAACTCTCGAGCCAGGAAGTAACGCAGAGCGATGTGCTTCGTTCTGTGCTCCAGTCTGTGCTCCTCACACAAGGCAATGGCAGCCTTGTTGTCGACGTACAGAACTGGAGGAGAACGAGGCCGCTCTCCCAAGTCGGTCAGCAGGTAGGTGAGCCAGCGCAACTCCTGAGCAGCCATGGCTGTGGCGTAGATCTCAGCCTCACAACTGGAGTTGAGAACAGAAGACGAGCGAGTAGAACGCCAAGAAACAGAGCCACAGCCAAGGCTGAAAGTGTAACCCTGTGACGACCGCTGCGTAGCCTGGTCGTCAACCCAAGAAGCGTCTGAGTGCCCAGTGAGGACCACCTCTCGCCGTCCTCCAAGCACGAGCCCCATGCCCGATGTACTGCACAAGTAGCGCAGTACCCTCTTCGCAGCATCCCAGTGCACCTTTCGGTGCCGACCAGGAGCCACGTAACGGGCCAGAAGGCCAAGGGGGTACGCAAGGTCAGGACGAGTGCAAGTCATCAGGTACATGAGGCAGCCCACTAGCTCTGGGTAAGGACCACTCGGCTCTACGGACTCGTCCGAAGGTGGAGCTGAGAGCGAGTGACCTGTAGCCAGAGGAGTGGCCTGTGGAGAGGACCAGGTGAAGCCGAAGCGCTGAAGGACCTGCTGCACCATGTGTGACTGAGTCAGTGTGATGGTGCGGCGTGCTCTGTCTCGGGTGATCTGCAAGCCAAGGTAGCTGCGCAGCTCACCCAGGTCAGTACACGTGTGTCTCTTCTGCAGCTCCGACTTCACCAAGGCGAGAGCCTCAGTGTAAGCAGTGGCAAAGACCAAGTCGTCGACGTACACGAGGATGTAGAACGGCGGCAGAGAAGTGTCGGTGCGTAGAAACAGCGACGGGTCAGCTGTCGAAGGTGCAAACCCAAGAGCCGCAAGTGTAGTCCTCAGTGTGTCGTGCCACTCACGTGGTGCCTGGCGGAGACCGTAGACTGGCCGCCGGAGGCTCCACTGGGTACCAGGAGGGAACGACCCAGTGAAGCCAGGTGGACGGCGCAGCCAGATCTCCTCGTGCAGGCTGCCCTGTAGGAAGGCTGTGCTAAAGTCCAGCGAGTGAAGCTCGTAGTCACGCTGAGCGGCAACGTGCAGTAGCACCCGAAGAGTGGTCATCTTCGGGGTGGGGGAGAAGGTCTGAAAGAAGTCGACTCCCTCTCGCTGACTGAAGCCTCTAGCAACGTAACGAGCCTTGAAGACAGGCGGAGAACCTGGCGGCTGCTTCACCCTGAAAATCCACATGCCATCGACAATGTTTGCCCCGGGGGGGGGAACCTCATCGACGTACGTGCCTGTGGACTTCCAGGATGCCATCTCTGCGTCCATGGCTGCCTGCCACTGAGAGGAGTAGTCACCCGCGATCGCCTCAGCGTAAGAGCGCGGGGTAGGGATGTCTATAGCATCCGGGTCTCCCTCAGGGGCAAGCAGCATGGCCACAAGATGAGGCGCAGCGGCTGCAAGACACTCAAGGTCCTCGTGCCTGTCCTCAAGGACGTCCGTGCTAAGAGCACACTCACCCCCGACGGACGGAGGACAGACAGACTCAGACTCAGCAACCAGACTAGCAGCGTAGTCCAGACGACAGGCAGCAGCAAAGTCAACAAGCTCAGCGACCAAGGCAGACGCAGCAGCAGACTCAAAAGAAGGGTCAGTGACAACAGTGGCGAGCAGACGCGTGACAGTAGGGTGCGCAGCACGAACGCGGTCAGACTCAGGGTCGGGAACGTCAGGTAAAGAGGACGCAGGAGGAGACGGCAGAGGAACAGACTGTGGAACAGAGGAAGGACGACGGACGACAAGGTGCGCGGTGGGGACAGTCGGCGAACGCGGACGCGGAACACGACGAGCGGTACGACGAGAACTAACAGGCGAGACAGGACGCGACGCAGGCTCACGACGCTCAGTAAGACCGCCGGACTGCTCAGTGTAGGGAGAAGGAACAGGCAGCGGTGAGCCAGGCTGTAACGGAAGACCAGTAGAAGACGGAAGGCTAAGAACCTGGCGAAGCACAGAGTCAGTAGGTGGTAGCGACGACGGGGACGGCGGAGCGAAGAACAGTCGCGGCTGCGCAGTGCCACCAGCACCAGCAGCTCCAGTACCCCCAGCAGCTCCAGAACCTCCAGCAACTCCACCACCCCCAGTGTCAGCTCCACTAGGACCAGCTCCACCAGCAGTAGCACCCCCAGAACCGGCACCTCCAGTCCCAGGGTCTCCAGACGCAGTGTCACCAGCAGTAGCACCCTCAGGTACAGCACCACTAGCCCCGGCAGCTCGAGTACCAACGGTACGAGCACATCCGGGACCCGCGACGGCAGTACCTCCAGTAGACAAAGAACCAACACCACCAGCTGCAGAGTCCCGTGTACCAGTAGTGCGACGCTGACGACGACCGTACCAGTCCTGCAGCTGCTGAGGGGTGAGGGGCACACGTGGACGAAGACGGCCACCCCAAGGAGGCGGCGCAGCAGCAGACTCAGCACCCCCAGACGGCGCACCCCCAGACTCAGCACCCCCAGACCCCTCACACGCAGGCTCAGCACCTCCAGGCTCCGCACCTCCAG